TATCAATATTCATCAAAACCATAAAAAATTTAAATAATTAATGCTTGAAAATGTAATACAAATCTTCATACAGAATCCTAAAAATCGCAGAAAAAACTTATTACCAATTTTCTTATAAGCATTTAAATTGTTTTAAATGAGATATTTAATGAAAAACAACATTTTTGGTTATTTTGTTACAAATAAAAAATTATTTTGTGTAGAGACACGAAACTATTTGCACTATATACATTACTATAAACAATAATATGTTCCAAATATTTAGATTTTAGATTCATTTTAAGCTTTTTATACTAAGAATCTTGATGGACAATTTAAAGCAATGTGAAAAATACCTAGGTAAATGTAAAAATTACTTTATGACTTTACTTTATTACGACAATGTTCAAATAAGAGAAATACACCATAGTTATGTACATGAATATAGACCGTAAAATATAAATTTGAAAAAAAACGCATGAAAGAAACATGGATACATTTTTTAAGAATTTTTCTCACCAGCTCTAATTATAAGTTTATAATATCTATACAGAGTAATGTCAACAATTATAATTTATGATTTTGAACAAAAAATAATAATACTTACTCAGAATTATTATTGTTATTAGTCAGATAATTAATGATTGGCTGCATAACTAAAGTACTAAAATCATCTTCACTTAAATCTTTAATGAATGTTTTATACAGATCCATACAAGGGGACATCAAGTATGGTTCATCTAAGCATTTCCACATTGAAATTGATAAAATATCAAACTTCTCTAAAATCTAAAATTTTAATAATAGGTAATAAGCAAATAATATATTACAACTTATAAACTAGAAAATATCATATTATGTACCTTTTTGGCACCGTATTTTGAAGCAATAACAGTCAACATATAAAACTTAGTCCTCAAAGACCACGATATTTCTAAAATAACTATACTCAGTATATAATCTAAATCTTCGAGGTCTAAACATTTTACTAAAAGTAAAATACATTGGTCACGAATTGATGGTAAATAATGATTCATTTGGCCCATTAGGACCTTATAAATACATTTTGATGACTTTTTCCACTGATCTTTTGTTATAACTGTCATACATTCCGTTAAATATTTTAAAGCTTCTAAATTTATTTCAGTATAACGGAAGCAAAAATCACAAATATTTTCAATTGAATTATATATACAATTTAATTGTTTTTCAGATTGAAAACATTTGACAGCACCAACATGAATAAGCAAACAATATTGGTCATACTTTTCTGATGGTAATTTCAATTGTTTTCCAAGACTTAAAAAATGTGTAATGCCTGTACCACTGATATCTGATTCATCTATTTTCATAGGTAAGGTCCATTTATTTTTTTCTTCATTATTAGATTGGTGTTTTGGTTTATTCTGTTGACTTAAATAATATGTTTGATATAAAATTTGAGGAAAAAAACTTTGATAGTCTGATGCATGTTTTTTATAATCAACTATGTTTATTAAACAAAAGTGAATATTTTTTAAAATATCTTGGCATTTCAAGTTTTTTGTACAACAATTTACATCACCATTAATACTTTTTTGAAGAAAAGTATTCAACTCCTGAAAAGTAATTAAACATATCATACAATAGATGTATATATATCAATTTCATTATTCCAAAATTGATTTAAACAAGTGAACAAAATCATTATAAATGTAAAAAATATAGATTATGGGGTGTCACCAATGGGTGACTTCCCCCTCCCGTAAATCATCCTCATCAAAGTTACTTATTGTAATATAATATATTGTAATTACAGATTGTATATAAAATTTTGTTCAATAAAAAAAAATATATATACATAGTTTTATGTAGAAATTCTGGGACATTTGTACTGGACCAAAACGAAAGAGCCTACTGACTACAGACAAACAAAATGAGTTGTATACCTATTTATCAGAATTTGTGGTAAACAACATTTTGGCTGATTAACAAAAATGGTATAAAAGTTATAATAAACATTAAATTCATATTTTATTATATTTTAAATTATCATATTGAGGTGAATGTTAACCCATTAGCGCCGTGCGTTGCCATATGGCAACATAGGTAGACCTATTTTTAGAAGCTAATTTCTCATTGGGAATTTGACCAATAAAAAAATTTAAAAAAAAATAAATAAAAAATTTCGGCGCTAATGGGTTAAAGCCTATTCTATATCTGACAATACTCGATATAAATAGATACCTACCTACTGTCGTCTATTATGGTCTATGAATCTAGATAACCACCGTAGTTAGAACTCTCATGGTATTTGGATTTTGCTTGGCTATTTTGGTGGGTTATAATTGATTAATTGTAATACTTTCTCCCCGAAAAAATAATGACGGCCGTACATTACCAATAATATATAATATTCAATACGGTATTGTCTAGCATGGTGAACTGAAGTGGATAAATGAATCAATATTATACCAACATATAATATATTTGTCGGTTTAATAATTATTTAAAATATCAAACAAATATTTAAGCGGTTTAATGAAACGAAATTAAAAAACTATGTGGTAGTTTACATTCATCAAGCCCATAACCGCCAGGTAATTATAAACTTTTAATAACAATTTGATACAAATTATTGAACATAAATATTAGCGTATTTTTGTACTATTTTTAATTTTTTTTTTTATAAATGCACAACAGAAGTTACTGAAAAATTCATCCAACAAAAATGAAAAAACTTAAATTAAAAAATCTGCTAATAAATAATAATGATGATTTCAAATGTGACTTTGATAATACGTGTGAAATTGTTGGAACTTGGAACTACGGTATGTACAATTGATAAAAACTACATATTAAACCCAGATTTACCATCAAACCATTTTCCACGGTTCTCCGATGATATTTCAACATGGCCATCAATAATTTAGTTAAATAAGGCCCAACATTGGCCATTAGGCCAAAAACATTTAGATGCTTTGTGAATATCATCAATCGAAAATGATATAACAGCAAACCTGAGTTTCGAAGATATTGTTAAAAAGGTTTCAGAGTAGAAGGCTAGAATTATTTGTGAACACTTTGATAAAATTTGACTTGATTACGTCTAGTTTTATATGAGTATTATTAAAATCAAAACTACAGATTATTTAAAAAAAATTTTTATTATAAATAATACGTAATTAAACAATATTTTATTTAATGATTTAGGAGCCCAACATGTTAAATTGTACTGGGCCTGTGAATTGGCAAATCAGGGGGCTTGTGTAGAATAATTATTAAAATGATTAATAATTATCTAGTGGAAAAAAACGATTTATTGATTTGATTTTATATATTTATTGTCATAATCCTCTCAACATATTTATTCTATAATTGGTGCCAACTCCCACACTATTCCTAATGAATTCATTTCCTACTCTATCCTCTCTATACTATACCTAGTGAGACTGTGAGAGAACACACAATTCTGCTTGACACTGCCAACAAGACCGATTTTATTATGGCAAAGTGATGCACAGAAAAACTAAATTTTGTCGAATTGTGTTATATTGCTAGACGGAGTATAGCTACTCTTAGTCAATCAATATGTACTGATATTTTTTTTTTTAAATTAATAAATATTTTAATTTTTAAAGAAATTTGAAATTGAGCAGTCTTGTTAATATGAATCTTTTTATCATAACAAATTATTTATTAATGATATATATTTATAATTAATTATATTTCAAAAATATTAAATAAATTTAAAACAAGTAAACCCAATTTTATAGATTATTTAAAGGATGTTTAGATCTTATTATTACTTTAATTTAAATGAATTTCCTGTAGTTTTTAATGTTTTAAAATCCAAACTATACTAATTACTTAACTATTTTATATACCACATACTTACAGTCATAGAAGTATAATTGTATTGAAAATTGTTTTCAAATACTTTCACACTAAATTTGTCAAGTAATTCATGAGACGGCAACATATTTGAAAGAGTACTACAGTTAAGACTGAAAAAAAATATTGTTTTATATAGTAAAAATAAAAACAAAAGTATTTTATTAAAAATAATTTCATGTGAAATCAAAATAGTTTAGTACCGCCAACCGAGGTGAGATTTGATAAATTTGGTTTTTGTTATGACATAGCATAATTATTTACTATACTTTAAAAGAATAAGAATAAGAATGGAAAAAAATTGCGACAAAACTGTGTTGCATTCGCGCATGTGCAGTCTCGTTGGCTGCCGTTGGTAAGCTACCAACTACTGGCCAATTACAGCGGTCCTACCGTTTGGAGGCTGCGCAGTTTTTCCATTCTAATTTGAAATAGAGTATAGGGTAACAGCACAGAATAATACAATAGTAGGGTACCTATTAATATTATTTAATTCTACCTCCATGAAAATATATTTTTTATTTTTATGATAATAATCATCAGGCATGATAACTATGGACCGGGCAGAATCGTTTTTTGTGTACAATACTACAATAGCCTATGATATATCATCGAATATTCGAATTCAAATTTAACACTTCCATTTCAGTGACCCACTCTACACCTACTATATAGCAGTAAATCACCAACCTTTTTAAAATAAATATTCTTTTATAAATCACCTGTAATGTGCTTGAATTGAACTTTAACATGAATATTCATAGCCGATCAAGTCAAGCTGAGGACACCAAGCAAAAATTCAAGATTGATTCAAGTCACCTTGGTTGACGGTATACAAAGTAAAATAATGAAATAAGTAATAACAACTGCAATAAATATTTATTAGTTTAATAATATTGTTCATTTAATCATACAAATTAGATAATAGGTATAAATTTAAACAATTTTTATTTTTTGTTATTTTTATATATAACATTTAAATCATTATTATACCTATACTTAACTTTTCAACATAAGAAGGATCAAAATGTTCGAATAATAAATACATTAATGTTATAAAATTAATTTTAAATAATCTATATGAACTATTAATGTTACCTACCAATTAAACTAACATCATCATTGAGTACATAATATTGTTAAGTACATCATTTTTCGTTCAAAGGTTCATAACCATCTTTTTCCATTTTTTCTTTAAACTTCAAATAGTTATATTTTCTATCAAAGTGTTTTACCTGAAAATGTAATTCAATTTATCATAATATATATTTTTATAAATTTTTAAAATTTAAGTTAAATACATAGTAGGTATTATACTGTATTCAGTTATAAAATGGCTAGTTTTAAGCATCATGAATGATTTCGTACATTGACTTGATTCCCCCCCCCCCCCCCCGTATGCTAAAGTGGAGAATAATCATACACTAATTATTTCCAGTAAACAAGTGAGCAACTGTGCCAGTTCTAGTAGAACCAGTAGATCCCTAAACATAAATGTGCAGTTTTGACATATTGCAGTGGGCAAGCCATTCTTAAACTGAATAGAGTATAGATAATATAGTTATACTACCTAAATAACTAAATTTAAGAGTACATAAATATTCTTTTAACTTAGAAAATAACTAAGAAAATAAATATTAGATAGAAAATAAATCAGTTATTGAAATTGAAAATAAAAAAGCATATTATTATGAACTTAATGAAACCAAGATTTCAAACCAGATTTTATGATTATTATAAAGGTATTACCTTTATACCTAATTAAATTTAAAAATATTAGAACATTGATTTACCCATTGGACTGGACAAGATGATTCATAGATTAGTCTGAGATCTGTACATTTGTCTGCTTTATCATTGTTGGAACGCAAACATTCCCAGAAATGATCACGAGACGACCAACACTTGGTCCGTTCATTTTTGGATAAAAATTCCTCTTTAGAGCTCATTCTAACAAATACAATTGTCAATGTCGTATAATATAATCACAGATTTCTATACTAAGTGTGTAGTTATAGCCCATTTATAACTTACAAGATATGGGTATTATCTACATTTAATACTTGAATTATACATTTAAGTCTTAAAGTATTGATTTTAAAATATTTAAAAAAAATTAAGAAATAATAGCTTGATAAGTATTCAACTATATAACTCGTGTATTCATGACGTATTGACGTTCATCAATTGTACATACTTACATATTATATTTCATGTGGTCATGACGTCATGTGGATTGTAATTGATATTTGTATTTATACCACAGATATTATGTACAATACTAGTTAGTAGTTTCTATAGAATAAAGTATAAACTGCCAACTGCAGCTGTTGTATCCACGACTAATTATCTTAAATCGTGGCTGTATGCTGGAGCCTGGAGTATGCTCGCTGAATTAGTGTATAATATGTTCTTTTAAATTTTAATTCTAGGCCCACGATGCAGACGATATCGTGTAGAGGCCGAAAGGCTTATCATAATATTTGTGTGATAAGGAAACTGATAAAAAAAAACTGTACCATCAGCACATAGACGATAGACATAATATCAGCACCGCTTAGATCACAGAACAATATTAGATCATAGCATGATTAAAGGGCCGTTCTTACAATGTCCGGTTAAAGCAGGGTATAGACACTCTGTGTATTGGCAAAATCGGGTGACTGTGGCCTTGAGCACAGTCTCTAAGGGGGCGTGGCATATGTTATCATTTAAATAAATCATATCAATATTATCAGTCCACAGAATAATAATACAATATATTATTTCATTAACAATAAACCAATGTAAAATTACATTATAGCTTTTAATTTATATTAAAACAAAATCCTTATTCATTTTACCAAAATTTAATATTGATATACTTAAAATATGAAAATTCGTATAAAATCGTTTATAAAAATTCCGTAACAAAGAGGGATACACGTTGCTAACGTTCTATCAGATTACGGATACGGTACAACTTTTATAGTCCAATACATCATACCGTAGGGATACGTAAACCCTCACAGCTGATCGAGTGTCTATTCTATATTGTTCTGTGGTTAAAGTTAACCGACACTTAACCGGCCGAATTCTGCCGGTCACGGTTAGAAGATAGTATGGTTAATGGTTATGCTTATGTTAACTGTAAGGCTAGGTTCACATGAAGAGCGTTAAACGCGCGTTTACAATAATGAATGCAGCTGTATTATAACGCGCGTTTACACCTTTCAGACACGTTGCAACGCGTTGTCATTCATCCTGTGTAAATTTTCTAAACGCGCGTTTAACAGCTCTCATGTGAACTAGGCCTAATAGGTAGTATTTAATATTTACAACGACCCGATGGGCAACCATACTATCTTAAATCGTGGATCATAGCAATATTCTATGATCATAATCATAGCAATCATAGTATCATACAACTACTATCTAGTGCACGGACTATGATTGTCACGGACTAAGATATACAGGACTGGACACGACAAGGTTGGAGGGTGTGGGGGGGTTGACTACGAAATGTTTTACAACAGGCAGTGTTCGGGTTGATATTTTCCTTTTAGCATTACTAGCGCCGTCCTAGTGGATACTTATGGAACTAGAACACATCATACAAATTTCTAGTTCCATAAGTATCCACTAAGACGGCGCTAGTAATGCTAAAAGGAAAATATCCCCCCGAACTCCGCCTGTTGTAAAACATTTCGTAACCACAATATTCATCTCGTGTCCAGTCCTGTATATCTTAGTCCGTGATGATTGTTAATCATAGTCCGTGGTCTAGTGTAATAATGATCTAAGATCAGCCGGATTTCAACGATAATAGTAAAACCATGATAAAGAAAATGAGTAAAACGAAAATTTATTCTGTGGTACAACCAATTTTCGAAAATGTTAACAAAATGTATTGCCATTTTAAATACAAAATTAATAATGTAGCTGGATTGAACCGTTCGTACATATTACGGAGATTCCAAATATTTTTTCAGAATGAAAATCATGATAATTTTTTACTTGTATCGCTAGAATTATAGAAACAGTAGTTTTTGACAAAGAAAACGCGCATAATGAGGCAACATGTACTTCAAGAAATATAATATTTTTTTTAACTACCCTAACAAATTTAATTAAAATAACACATACATATTACAATAGGTAATTGAAAAAAAATATAAAATTACAATAAAGTAAAGAAACTTATGAAACTATCATTAGTTGTTTGCACTTGAGTGTAATAGTTTATTTTCAATCTAAAATGATGTTAAGATAAATCTCAGTTCTGACAATAATTTAAAGCCATAATTATAAAAGTACACAGTGATTACAAAACAAATGATTAAGCTTAGATTTTTAATTTTGGATTCTAATAAATTAGTGATCACATTAAGCAGAGATTATTGTATTCCCTTTACTATTCCCCTACTTAAACATTTGTTAATATTTTTATTAAAATTAAATTTAGGACTCTTGTATAGTTGTATAATAGTTGAGTTATATATTAATAAATTGTTTTAAATATTAACAATGAAGATAAAAAATATGCACAATGAATAATGATTACATTAAAATTGCAATTATTTAGTACTATCACGTTTCTTCAAAGTTTGACGAATTTATAGGTTGTTCATTTGTTTGCTGTACATCTGTATGAATTGAAATAATATGTCGCCCAGGTATCATTACTAAGCCTAAAAGTCGAGATTCTCCAGTATCTAAATCTAAACACATAAAGATCAGTTGTGAAAAATCTAAACATCATAAATTATTTAATTTGTTTTCTTAGAAACTCACCTTTTTCGTTAAAGTATTCATAACATGTACTAAGTATAATATGAGCATCTTTATCAGTACAAACGAATGTTCCAACCAAAATACGGCCATCTAATAAATTAACTTTCATTTGTTGATTCAACCAAGACATAAGTTTTCTTCTTCCTTCAGTATGTACTCGCTCCGGCTAAAATAAAAACACAATCATACAATAAATTAAATATTGACATCCTATTCATATACACATTGCTATTTATTAGTAATCACATATATAATCCAATAAGGTTTAGTCTTCAGTATTTAAGTAATAACATAATACCTATATTAAAATTTGAAATAATAAAAACAATTTATTAATTTTCATGTTAAACTCACCATATAGCTGCAAAATTGAGTTTTTTGAACATTTTGATTGTCTGTCTCCATTTTTAAAGGTCAACTATCAATTTTATAAATAATTTTTTCGGTTATAATATAAACAAGATCAGAATATGTGCAAGTGACTTAAAATGTTTACACAAATACAGTTTGAATAACCCATTCCCATATAATAAAATCAATTTTTTAATATTAATATCTACCGACAACTATTATTGTAAAATATATTGAAATTGTAGGAAGTTACTAATGAACGTGAATAAATGTGTTTTTTACCATCAAAGTATCAAACGCTAAAATATTTAAAATAAATACAATAGACGATGGATCATCGATGGATGTTCGCAGGATATATTAAAATTATTTCTGTAATAGTGTAATCTGTTTTTCTATTCCACTGTTATCATTTTATCACTGCCGTAATCAGCGCTATATTTTGACATTGTGATTTGTGGCACGGAAAGTCTACATTACCCAGTGGCTGCACTGTGTAGTGTGCTCCACGGATAACAGGTACCACCCCAACCAGCATAATATCCTCTATAATATAATTTATATTATCTATATGACCACCACCACCCACCTGCTCCAATTTCGTCCTGCAAAACTATGATGGGTCGGGGTGCAGGTAATCAACAACAACAAAACAAAACAAACAAGTGTACCGAGCGGTAGACGGTACCAACTACCACCTATTAGGTTGCTGTATTCAGTAATCGCGTCCTGTAAATTGTAATGCATCTGCCACCTGTCCTGTCCTGTACTGCAATAGTGCATGCCGTTCCCCACTCTCCATACTCGTCACTCGGTAACCTGTTCGTTATTAATACCGTGAGGATGTGAAATTCGTTCGATAGTCGATTAGTCGATAGTAGTGAGTAGTCCCGAGTCCGGTAAACCCGTAAACATTAATACGCAGTACGTTCGGTTAGGGCGTTAGGTATTGTTATTGTCACTTTTTGATCGATCGATACATAGGTGATAGGTCTGTATGGACCAGATTCTAGACTCCAGACGGACGTCGGGTTCGACTGTGGCACTGTGACTTCATTATCCAGCCAAACGTGATATTCGACATTCGTAAACACGATGTGTCGTTATTATCTAACCGGAAGTGCGATTGACCAACAATGGAACGATTAGCTGGTCATGAAGATGCTGCTGAAGATGACGCCTGCCCGCCACAACGGGAAATCGATTGTATACCATAGTAATTGCCCCTAGCCTCGAACGCATACATTGTTTTCATGGAATTTTGTAAATATTTGCTGCTCACCATTTTCCTGTTTCAAATGGTAATTATTTCTGCCTCAAAGATTTTTGTTGGCTTATAAAATATATTGTATGGCACAAATGTACAATACCTAATATTGTGATTACAATGATATAAAATGTTTCATGTCAGTTGCATCCTTTATGTTAGCAGTTATTTGTTGGAATATTGTGCTAAGTAAAGTGAACATTTTTATTGGCCAATTTGTAATATATACCTAGCCTGACCTAGGTACATTTTAATTTATGGTGTGTGTAGATGACAAGTTTTATAGTTCTTAATTTGAGGAGTCAGTCTAACAAAATCTGCCCGTACAATATGTACTTAGATCTTTAGCATACCAGTTATTTATGGGTTATTTTTTGACAAAACATAAACATTTTATTCAGAACAAATTCAACACTATCACTTCTTATGACTGCTTTTATATAATTTTTGTATCTGAAGCTCTTAAAAATTATGTAATGAGGTGTATTTAATAATTTTTAATAATTTTATTGTATTAAAGCTAATAATAAACAAATAATTTGATACAGCACAATGGAGAATTTTTACCTGTTCAGTATTTAAAACATAACATTGTGCACTAAAATAAAATAAGTACCTTTTGTTAAAAATAATAGGTATTATAGTGCTTAAGTGCACTTATAGGTAACATATTATAACCCATATACCCCGCTATATATATAAATATATTCTATAATAAGTACTAATAATATTTATGATAGGTAATTCAAAAATGTGTTATGTAGGTATCTACGTATTATTTTTGTAATAGTTTATAAAATATATAAATTCCATCTTGTTTGTGATATCACAATTGTCTATAGTTAATACTGAGTAAGTCCTGTTTCACAGCTACGCATATGTAGGTACACTGGTTTTATGATTTAGATTGTTTAAGTTCATAATATGCGAACATTATGAACATTATACTTCAGCATGACACATTGAAGGCTTTTTAGTTTGAATACATATTCATGGTATATGATTTTTAACTTATAAACTTATTAACAAATCACAAAAAATCCTACATACCTTTATATTCGTTATAGACTATCCCAATGTAACAACATCAGAAAAAATAGTACCCGAACTTTTTTGTCTTATGCATTTTCCCCATTACATTCTTGTATATTAATTGAATTAATCAATACTATATTGTATAATATTAGCTACACTATTATACTATTTATTTTATAATTAATGAAATGGACCTATTTTAATTTTTCCCAAAAAACTATTTCAGATTTCTTAATTCTTAAAAATATTTATTTATAAAATAATTGCTCTATTGATTAAATATTATTAATTACATTTGAAGGTTTCAGTTTGGAGCAAGACCAGCATTTGACTTTTCTCCGGATTTATGTGGGGATCAGTATTAGCAACTTTTTACGAACTTTTGTTTATATTTTTGGAATATTTGGTGTAGTGCAGTCAGAATGTATATACTTATATCAGTATGTCACAATTTTATTGATACTAATAATATGTAGATTATATTTTAATTTTATAGTTACTAGGTGGCCATTTTGATTTTTGTTTTATTTAAAATGTATTTATTATTGTTATTTTAGTATTAAGCATGGAGTATTTGTTTGGTGGTTTTGGAATATATTTGTAGTTTATATTATTGGGAATTGTCAATTTTTAGTGATGTAAGTATATTATAATTAAAGTTTAATCTTACAATAATAAAATAATATTCTTGGATTGGTGGATTTTGATATTGTGATGTTTTTGTTAAATCTTAGATTCAATTAGAAGAAACTATATTTGTTTATATTATTAATATTTTTTAGAGCTTTGATTTGATGAGTCTTGGTGCAGATAGTGTTAGTTGGTGGGAATCTAATGGTCCAGGATGCAGAGTATTTTTTTATCCAAATCACACTGGCATTGAAGAAGATGCTATTAAGCCGGTTAGACCAGATTTGATTACTGGATGTGTTATAGATTATCAAAAAATTGAAACTGCTCAAGCAGCTTTACAAATACTTTTCGCTGTAAGTTCTCAAGTTATCATTAGTACAATATTTAATTATATTTATCTAAAATTATCTTTTCTTATTTTCTAGGTTTTTGGTATTCTTTGTAGCTTGTATGTATCATGTTGTTCAAAATCTAGAGATGAAGGTATGTTTACCTTTAAATCAGAACAATTAAACATAGTTTAATTAATAATATACATTATTTTTAGATCAGGGGTATGAAAATTTTAAGGGCTAGTAGTAGTGCTATACACACATTTATTGTGTCTAATTTATACATGAATAGAATATATTTATAATCTTATGAATACTTCATATTTTATTTTGGTAACAGTTTTTCAGCTAAAATATTGATATTTGAACTAACTTTTTGAATTTAATGTAAGTTTCAATTATTGGAATATTCCAAAAGTTTGCATTAACTATACTCTGTTCAAAATAAGAAACCTAGACGGCGGCGGTCAGACTATGCCCATTGTTCTCCCCACCAAATCAACCATTTGCTCACCAGCTCTGCCGACTACGCGCGACGCAGCTGGTGGCAGGTTTTCGCATGTACTCGCCTTTCCGTTAAATTTCAAATAATATTGTTTTAAGTTATATGTTCATTTCACTTATCAAATATAGACTAATGAGTAGGGCTCGGAAGTTGTTGCATTTGCATGATTTTTTTGAACCATTAGATTTATTGCTAAGTAAGCTAGAAATTCATTTCAAGACACTACGAAAAACATATCAAAAGTTTTTAGTGCATATTTTTGCATATTTAGTGATTTTTAGATTTTAGAGCATATTTCTTAATTTTACAATTTTTTAAAGCATATTTTATAATTTATGGACATTTAATATGAAAATTTGTAAATAAAAAAATAAATACATTCATATTCAGAGATCTTACTAGATATTCTTGAATCTTATTATTCAAATTTCCATTTGACATTAAAAACTATGTTTTTTCTCTATTGGTTAATATGATATTATATAAATATATATAAATTACAACTACAGCTAGCTTTATCTAAAATAGATGATTATACAAATCTAAAATAGAAACAGCTGCTATCGAAATACGACGATTTTCTATAAATACTTTTATAGGAAAAGAACACAATGATTATTGACTATTGTTAATGGCATTTATAGATTTTAGGTATTTCAGGTATATAAATATAACTCGACAGAAGTGCATTTTTTTATTCAAGGAACATTTTTAATTTTTAAAGCGATTTTTTTATTATTTTTTTGTTTAAATTATGATTAGAAAATATAAATAATAATAAATTAATAACTTATATTACTTTGCTTTTTTTTTTTATTTACAAATTTAAAAAAAATATTTGTACAGATGAAAATGTTGTGTAAAATAATTAAATATAAGTGCATATTTTTAGAGCATATTTGTAGTTTTTTAAGCGCATAAGTGCATGCATATTTAGTACTTTTTAAGTGCATTAAGTTCCGAGCCCTACTAATGAGTCACTCCTGCCTAAGCGCTGCAGTGGCATTGATTTATTATCTGTGTTATTAGTCTAGCCACGCCCCTGCTCAGTAGCTGGCTAAAAATGTAAAGTAAATAAGTTAATTTTTTTTTAACTTTTTAACTTAACTAGTCTTGATTGAAAGTTGAAATAAATACTTTTCTCTGTTAATTTAAAATTAAGCCATTAAGTTAAAAAAAATGTATGGTTTTATATTTAAATATTAATAAAAAATAAAACTAAAAACAACCAAATACTGTAATAATACATTTCTGTTTTTTTCTTGATAAAATAATTTTGTAT